GAATATCGATGCAGCTCTTCAGAAGTGCGGATGCCGTCGCCGAGCTACCACAACTAAGAGCGGATGTATACAGTTCGCTTACCGATGGTTGCTGTTAAGTTTCTGCCGCGTGCAAGAATTCTTTTCCATGCTACTTTCAAATCCATAATCTGAGGAATAGCAGTACTATGAGAAGAACAGTAATCGAGAGTTCTGCATACAGTACAATAAGAGTATAACGCTCATTGTAACTGCGAAAGTCATTGCAAATGCACCTGCACAGAAGGTTTGTCTCTAAACCGACCTCCCACGAGCCTGATCAAACGGAAGCCAATCGGCAGCACTACAATCAGAATATAATTGCAGTAAGCTGCCACCTGCGGCAGAGAGGTCGAGATTTCCGGTCAAGTTGACCACGGTCAACTAGCTGTGTTCGTTTCAGCCCCACACGCGGGCAGCATTTGGTCGCATCCGATCTCTATCCTGCCTTGGACACCATGCACGTGGCATCGTAGTATGTACGTGCATCCCATTTCATAATACAAAATGTCAGGTCAAAGAATACTAAGAATAGAAATGCCCATAATATATTGAGAGAATTAGACAGCTCCTTTGAGCATTGCAACGTTTAATGTTTTTGATATTATGATTTTTCCAAAAAGTTAATAGTACTGATGGCAAAGTTTGATGATAATAGTTTCTTTCATCGGTCTAAAAACTGTGTGTTCGTAGCGATTCGTCCGTCGTCGCGTGGAGCGAGCACATTGGTGATTTATCCCCCAGGTTGATTTTCCTCAGCATGTCCCACAATCTGATACCTTTTACAAGTCACCAGCGGCCTAACGGTGCACCGGAGCTCATCGCCAGCATGAAACAGTCACTGATTAGCGGGGAATATAGCGACGTGCAGTTTATGGTGGGACGGCAGTTCGGAGAAGGGAAGATATTCTCCGCACATAAGTAAACTTTCCAGCAAACACGAACGTTGCACTACGAAAACTGCGACATTTTGCAGGTATGTCGTGTGCCTGCGCAACTCCGTGTTCCGCGCCATGATCTATGGAGATTTAGCTGAAAACTGTGAGAAACCCATCGATATCCCAGATATTCCTGTGGATGCTTTCGGAAATATGCTCAGGTGTGGCAAACCGCGGCACGTGCTCAGAGATCCCTGAAATTTAAATAATGCGCCACATTCGTAAAAGGGAACAAATGTGAAGAAATTCATAAAAATGGATACCTAATTCCATATTAGAGAGTTGATGATGCCTTTTGATCGCGGCATTTCTACAAAATATCATTATACATCACTAATTCACTATAGATATCATAACTGTAAAATCAGCGCCATATACGTACATCACTACTGTCTGCATACTTGAAGTATATGTACATCGTAACTATAAGATTTTTATGACGGATATAATGATCTTTTTTAATATCCGCTGCTGGACGAGCAAACCCAACTGAATAGACATAACGCTGGTACTTCCGTTACTTGCTGCTACGGCACAATGGACATCGGACGTCTATTTATTTATTCTTATGCACGAGAATACACATAACTGCAGTTGTGCTTGTACGTGATCGCGTACTCGCACTATACACTACAGTAGCCCATATATACATCATGCAGCTATACACCATTAATCGTAATATTTTGTAGTTTCCTGTACACTGACGCTGTGGATGAATTGAGCTTGGAGAACGTCATCCCGACGTGGATGTGCGCGGACAAGTACGACGTGCTGAGTCTTGTAGAGAGATGCTTGGACTTCGTCAGTGACCACCTCAATGTCGACAACTGTCTGACCATGCTGGAAAATGTACATCGGCGCCAATTCTAAATAATATTCGAATTTCTGCTGACCGCTGACCGCGGCTGTTTTATAGGGCATTGAGTGGCATGCGGAGGAGATTGTCAAATGTTGCCTGCAGTTTATCGACAGATGCGCTGAAAGTGTCTTGCAGTCCGAACATTTCTTAGCAATTAAACAGAATACGTTGATGAGGATTCTGCAGAGTGAGACACTCTTTGCCGACGAGCATATCATCTATTTGGCTGTGGAAAGGTAAAGTGTGACCCGGTGTCCCGGATGGAAGAATTTGCTTCGAGGGCTGCAAGGAGCTTCAAGAATTGATAGCACGCAAATTTTCTTAATTCGCACTCAGCCGGCCAGTTGCAGCGCGTGGACGGAACATGCAGTTCGTTACGCCAAATGCGTATGATTAGAAAATTTTTAGTGTAGAAAATCACACCGAAGCGTTCTGTCTGAAATACTGTATCTATCAACCAGAATGATATAAGTTGACGTATTACAGTTGGGCGCTGGGCGCTTGCCAGGCCAACAATGTCGATCCATCCGGCGCCAATAGACGTGAGATGCTGGGAGAAGCGTTGTTTCTCGTGCGCTTTCCTCTCCTGAGCTGCACTCAGCTGGCGGATGGGCCGGCCAAGGTAAGCCATGCTGAATTAAGGAAATTGGCCCGGTACATAGCATCAAAAATGGATACATACACTAAAACTTCCGCTTTCGCGCATTCCGAAATAATTATAATTATTCCACTTCTTTATAATAATACTTTTATTACTTTATGTCATTCTAAAGCTAAATGATTTGTATACATTGTTCTGAAAACCCTTTACGCGCGCAACATCCGGTTACCGAGATATGGCGGACTAAAATGGATGAAAAGTTTAGATGCGTTAAAGAATGGTCTATTTTTGCAACGAATGTAATTTGTGGTGAATAAAGTAGCTCGTTTAGTCGGTGACCCGCCATTTCGTCAACGGTAATTTGCTGAGCCACACTACGTCGAACAGAAAAAAAACGTATAGTCGACAGGTCACGAAGTCGAGCACACGTTTGCTAATCCGTCTTAGGTTTTTCTTCGATTCTTGGTTTTCCTAGGTTTCTGATCTGTCGCGCTCTCTTAAGGCATTCGATTACGCCGCTTTTCGTGTTTGTAGAGTGGGTTGCTACTGCAGTCCGAAGTTCACGATCTGTATCAGTATAAGTTCGCCACGGTGAAGCCTCCTATACCCTTCTCCGCGAAACCTCGCCTAGTGCCCTCCTTCTGTATTGACAACACCGTGCTGGAGTACAAGGAAAAAGTGTTTGTGCAGCTTGATGCGAAAATCTGGTATCCAGCGGAAATTGTGGGAGCCGGACGGAAGGGGTTTCACTGTGCATGGCAGACTCCGTACAACACATCCGGCGAAGATGGCGTAGCCATCGACCACATTCTGCTAGCTTCCGAGTTTCTTAAGCCCGGCCAGGAGCTGATGGCCTTTGTGAGCGGCAGCCATACGAGTGCGACATACTGTCGAATAGACGGTGATCGGCATGTGGTCAAGCAGAACCAGCGGGAGCACACTGTCCGCTTCATGGATCTAATGGCCTACGAACACCACGTCACGCTGTTTAGAGCCACCATCCAGATTTGACAATCACGGACGCACGATATTAAATGTCTTGAGTCACCGGAAAACAAAGTAGTGTCGAACCGTTGTCGCTTTTGGATCTGTTATACGCACCGGACAAAATTTCGTATCTCAGTTTCAATTTTGTAAACTATTCGCTTGTTAGTATTTGCTTCAAAACCTTCACTGCCGAATTGTAGGTTGCCTTCCGATTTTAATTACTACTTCCTCGATGGTTATTTTCGGTAAAAATTGATATGTTAGCTCTTGTTTTTGTTAAGTATTTTGCGCGTGATGAAATTACGTTGATTGTAACATGATACGCACTTGTGGTAGGTAGTTGGCACTGTTTATCGCAGCGAGAAAATGCGTACATATACAGCAAGCCGACATGGGTTGGTCTATGCATGCTACAAATTGATTTATGCATTTTTCTACCACATGCCACAAGGTAGTTCTCAAGCAAAGCGCAATCTAATAAAATTGTTACTTACTACTACTATAAAATGAATAAATTTAAAATAACAAGTTAACGTTTCGCGATCTTCAGACCAGAATAGTTGCCGGAAATGGGGTTAATCAACGGAGGTGGTGAAGTGCAGACTGATGTCCGAACTTGGCAACTGAAAGGCCAAGTTGGTCAGTCTACCGCTTATGTAACCGTCCGCGACCAGACCCCTTTAATCAATAAACGAGACACCGCTGTCAAGCAAGATGATAACTGACACGTAGAAACGGGAGAGGCGGGCGGGTTTACTTTTGAGACACCATAAAGGCAACTATTCACTCAAACTTCTAATGGCACATGAAAGTTAAAATGCCATAGAAGTTCGATTGCCCCGTTGTGCATAGCAACAAGAAAGCCTCAGATCGCACGTTAACGACTGTTATTGCTGGACAATAACCGTCATTAACGTTTCGCGATCTTCAGACCAGAATAGTTGCCGGAAATGGGGTTAATCAACGGAGGTGGTGAAGTGCAGACTGATGTCCGAACTTGGCAACTGAAAGGCCAAGTTGGTCAGTCTACCGCTTATGTAACCGTCCGCGACCAGACCCCCAAAAGCGAAGCCGCGGCCCAAACCAAGGAAACGAACAGCAAGGAAAAACAAACATGAGTATGAATACGAACCATGTTCATAAACAACAAGAACCGAAACTAAGACATAAATTGTTGCGTTAAAGAAGACAAATGACGGGTATCCAAGCGAGAATACAGAGTATATGCATGACTATTCCACCTCCCCAAAATACGTATTTGTTCGGTTGACAGGCCGGCTTCCAAAGCCGCTGATGCGGCACCAATACGTAAAGAGTGAGCCGATAAATTAGGGCTAATAAGTTTTTTGAGAATAAAAGTGAAACGCTGCCTGGTTAAAAATGAACCAGTAGAAAAGCAATACAGAGGAGCATCCGGCGGGAAATGCCTCCGGCGCAGGGAGTCATAGGCCCGGAATGCCTGAACAGGACAGGTTGCCGTACCAGTTGCCCCAATGATGACGGAAACAGGACCGAACTGTTGTGACTTGGTTGCACGCAGACGCAGGGATAGGCAGTTAGTAGTGTATGTCACATCATCACGTCGCAAGGCACTGGAGGATAATTTCAGTGACAACGGTGAGCAAAATTCTGCAGAGCGAAGAAAGCCCGCAAAGGCCAGGGTAACCGCTGACTGCAACATTTTAATATCAAACTGGTTACAGATAATAAGTGGAAGTCGAGCAATAAAACGTTGCAGATGAGTTTTCGTGAATGCGGGACGGGGCTGTCTAGTTTTCCCACGCAGGCGTTTAAAACCGGCCAATAACAATGAAAGTCGCTGATCATTGGAAGTGATATTTGGCAAGTCCGCTCGACGAAAAGTAGCGGCAATAGCGGCTACATGCAATTTAGCCGTAGCGTACGATCGCTTGGTGTCAAACAAATACGCTACATAACGATGCAGTGTAGAACGTTTGGTAGGAAAACTAGAAAACCCGTTTCGCAAACAAAACTGATGAAAACTTTGAAATGCTGAACGATAGGACTTGGAACTATTCGATGACAGGTGGGCGCTGCAAAGTCTGTCCATCACGGAATCCAGACGCTGCACGCATTTGATCCGCTTTCTTTGTTCTACGACATAAGGCAAACATTATTAGTCAACAGAAAAACTAGGAGAAATGTGGATGGGAAACCTTTCTTGACCAGCGGTCAGCGCATGAAGTAACAGAGACACATCATAGTTTACAGGCTGTGGAGCGATATCAGCTTCGGGAACGAGTTGACGAAACAAATCGAGACGATTCCTTGAAAGAGCGTCGGCTGCCAAGTTATCTTTTCCCGGGATATGAACGATACGAACATGAAAATTGTGTCGTGCTGCGGTAAAATAAATCCGACGAATTAGATCCATGACACCACAATGACGCGACGAAAACGATTTCCAGGTTGAAACAACTGCACTATTGTCAGAATAAAAGGTCAGTCGTAACGTGCGCCACCGATGTCCCCACACATGGCAGGCGAGCAAAACTGGAAACATTTCACACCAAGTTATATGTGGCTTTAAAGAAGACAATTCACTTGGCCATTCATACTGCAGCCATTCATGTCCGTAGACAGCACCACAACCAAAGGTCAATGAAGCGTCGGTAAACAAATTTAAATCGGCAGACGAAGTCCATGTTGGCTCGAGAAAAGAATAAAAACCGTTCCATAACGGCAGAAACTCTAGCCACCAATTTAGATCGGCACGGAATTCTTTGTTTAGAGATATGCGATAATGAAGCTGACGAACACTGTTGGCCAAGTTGATCATTCTGCGAAGAAAAATCCGACCCGCAGGGATAATTTTAGTAGCCCAGCTCAATTTACCAATCAAACTTAAAAGGTCACGTTTTGTCATCGACTTGGCATTGGAAAAAACTTGAAACTCTGACAAAAGATCCCGCAGCTTTTCTTCTGGTAGTGAGAGAGTTTGAGTTACTGTATCGATTTGAACACCAAGGAAGGTTATGGTTGTTGAAGGGCCGTCACACTTATCCAAAGCGATGGGAACGCCAAGGTCACCACACAGTAAAAAGAAAAACTCCATCACGAGTTGGCAAAGGCGGGAATTTGCTGGGCCGGCAAAGAAGAAGTCATCGACATAGTGAAGCACATCAGCGAAATTTGCCACATGTCGAACAATCCATTCAAGGAAGTCAGATAGACGGTTAAAAATTGCTGGAGACGAGCGAAGGCCAAATGGCAAGACAATATCAAAGTAATACAAATTGTCAAATTGATATCCAAGGAGATGCCAGTCAGCAGGATGGACAGGAATCAACCGGAAGGCATGTTTCAAATCGACCTTCGCCATTAATGCCCCTGGACCAAGTCGTGTCAGAATTTTAACGGCATCGTCGACGGAACAGAATTTCAAGGTGTAATCTTGACGGGATATGTAGTCATTAACCGAGTCGCCGAAAGGTCGTGATAGGTCCATTATTAAACGGGCTCCGCCTGTTTTCTTGGGCCGGACACCAAGTGAGGAAATCACGAAATTGGGGAAAGGAACTATTTGAAAAGGACCACACGCATGCTGTAATTCAACTTCTTTCTTGATATATTTGCGGACAATGTCAGGAAACTGTCGAGCAGTAGCGCCATTCGGGGTAACACGGAGAAAATGTGTGCCAGTGAAACCTAAACTTGAAATAACACATAACAGAATCGAAGCAAAAATGTAATGACAAACCTAATCGGAAGCCATGAAGTAATCCGAAAATGAACGAAACCACTATTGCACGATCTGGGAAAAACTTCAAATATGCCAGGAATCTGTAAGGTCGAAGAGGTGTGGTTGGCTTATTGGGGATTGATGACGGCAGAGTGATAGGGGCGGGTGTGGCTGATGTCGAAACAGACATCACAGATGTGGATGCGACGATGCTTGCAGGGAGTTGGGCATTTTCCCGTGTTGTAATCCCTGCAGACGGCAACACGGGATCCACGAAAGGGCTGCATTGACTGGGAATTTGAAGTAGATGGTAGAGGAGTCGAGGTGGAACTGACACCAACCGCAGAAGAGGCACTGGCTGTGTCAGTTCGACTGGGAACGCGTTTAGGCTTCGGGCAATAGGTAGAATAATGAGACGGATCGAAACAGTTGAAACAGTAACCACCGAGCGGTGGACGTGGGCCAGTAGTGCCAGTTGAAGAGGTGGGAATAGTTGCGGTCACGGGAGTAGGAGTTGCAATAACCGTGCAAGTACGTAGTACATCTGCCATTAAAGTTATGTCTTCAGTGAACCAGGCATCATCGTCAGCCTCAACGTAACTCATACGATCGCGAAAACGCTTATCGTATTCAATCCAAACAACAAACGGACGCTGGATAGCCATACCACGAATGATTTCGACATAAGACAGGAAATGAGTAGCCAAATCGGGATGGTAAAAGGCGCGATAACGTGCAAACAAAAGGAACGCTTCGAGCCATGAATTGAAATTGTCGATTTTACGATCGCGACGATGTACGGCCGTAACTGGGCAGAGGCGTCCATCAGAATCAACAGTAAATGTAGCACGATCAGCTGAGTTGTCGATGTTCCGATTATCACTTAAAAGACGATGCAAGGACACAAACTTACGACGATCCTGCAGAACATGCATTGTCGCCGCATCGAAAGAAGGTAGACGTAGCTGGAGGGGAGGGCGGAAATCTGTAGAACTGTCCTCACCTTCCGGGACAGTGAACACTGGAGGCTCTAGCTGGATGGACGAAGAGGGCCGTGACTGATTGACAGTGCCACTTTCAACCCTTGCGGTCTTGGAACGAGCTTGTTTTAGGTCTTGGATTTCTTTCTGAAGACATCCGATTAATTGCTGGAGGGCGGCGTTGGTGACCTTAGGAGGTTTCTTGATAACACGCCTGGAGGGCACCGTAGCCGCCTCCCGATTAGAATTCTTCGACTTGCGAGCCATGAATACGATATGGATGGCAAAATCACCATCAAAATCACCATTTTACTTTTGAGACACCATAAAGGCAACTATTCACTCAAACTTCTAATGGCACATGAAAGTTAAAATGCCATAGAAGTTCGATTGCCCCGTTGTGCATAGCAACAAGAAAGCCTCAGATCGCACGTTAACGACTGTTATTGCTGGACAATAACCGTCATTACAACAGAGATCCAGAACCAAGAGAGAAACGTGTCCAGTATTATGAGAACCGTATTTCCGGTTGCACGTCACCGCCGCCTAGTGGGTGGCGGGGCTACTTCCGGTTGAGACACCGAGGCAGCAGTGAACTGCAGCCGCACGCGGGTACAGTTTTTCCATAATTATTCGACCGCCTTTGTCTGCGGCAGAGGCAGCCCCCGCATCGTGGCGAGAGCCTGCGAAAATCCAATTCTGGGCCAGTTGCTAAGGCCATACAAAAACTGAAAATAAAGGTCTTCCAACGGCTGGCGTTTCTGCAGTTTGTAATAATCGATTTTTTTTCGTTTTCTTCTATTTTCTAAGTTGTCTTAATTACGGTTCCTTCAACTTCCTTGTGTTTTCTTGCGTTTTTAGGGTTCTTGTGTCAATATTTACTTTGTTTGACAGCTCTTCGTGCTCGTCATTCACCAGCGTCCTAGCTGCAATGCTATATCTTTACGAGAGGGAAAACGAATTCTCTTTCCCAAAAATGTCCCACAGTCCGACATCGTCCCAAAATCCTGAGCTGGTCCACGATGGACAGGGCTTCCTCAGCAGCGTGAAGCGGTCGCTGGTTAGCGGAGAACTTGCTGATGTGCAGTTCATGGTTGGACGGCAGTTTGGAGATGGGAAACTCTTCTCAGCACACAAGTAAACCTTTATTCTGCGAAAGCTGCGGTGTGATAGTTACACAGTGCACTCTGAGGAACTTGTCCGATGCCTTGCAGGTACGTGTTGGGTCTGCGCAACCCCGTATTCCGTGCCATGCTGTACGGAGATTTGGCTGAAAATTGTGAAAAGCCCATCGATATTCCTGATGTTCCCGCCGAAGCTTTTGCCAACCTGCTCAGGTGTGTCCGATCACGGCCGTCTCCTGTCCGAAGCTATGCAGTATATATTTTCCAAGAAATGAATGCGGCGTTTATCTTTCTCTTGTGTAAAGCCACATTATCATGCGCTACCTGTATTTTAATAATATGTAGCACTATTTTAAAAGACACGACATTCCATAAGGATAAGTTAGTTGAGATGATCGAGAAAAAACGCCTAAAAATGGGCAATCCAAAATCCAGTCGAATAAAATCAATAAAATTTACTTACCCGATATAGCACCAATAGGGACTTTTTGGGACATACAAGATTTTAGAAAATCTGAAGAAATGTCAGAAAATGTCTTGCTCAGTCAAATCAGCGCCATGCAGCCTGTGGTAGAATTTTATCGCTACTTCTCCCTTAAAAGTTAAAATCTAACGAGATTTACCAGTGGTCATGACAGTACAATTAGGATAAGATGGAAATTTTGGGCCTTAGCTATAACTGTCAGCAGTTAGCAACCCGTGCATAAAAGAATAAACGATAAGCGCCACAGCTAGGTTTTTTATAGGAAGCGAAATGGTAAGCACTAAACACGGAAATATCACAGCACTCGTGAGCGTCCAAGATGCTCTTCCAGCGCGAAAACCTGGCCGTGCCGTGCTGCTGTACTAGTTGCTAACTTGCTACGCTAGCTCTTTATTGATTATCTAATAAATTAATAAGCTGTTGGATGTCTTCGTGTGATGGGGCGATGTCCCTTACCGAAGTCGACAATTCAACAATTTGCAGTGCATTAGAAGCAGGAAGTAAAAGCGAGAAACAAGCTATGAACTTCAAAAGATATCGATGGCATCGTGGTGTCGCAGTTCGAGGTTTCGTACCAGTGCATAAAATTAAAGTGCTCATAAGCAAGCGGTGTAGGGATAAGGGTACCGCGTCAGGGTGGCGAGGTATGGTCGGCGCGCTAAATCGTAGTGGCTGGGATAACTTCAGGATACATGTGAACAAAGGCAAAACACAGGTTCAAAACAGGAGAACCTTTGTTGTTGCCAGACGGTTGTGAGCTACATGCCAGAAAGTGCCCCTTGGCAAGGCATATGTTCTTTATCGACCTTGCCTTCGGTATTTGAAACTGGCAGATAGCTAGGGTACTTGTAGGTGATAGAACGGTTAAAGTCATTGAACGAGAAAACTAACAGGACTTTTGTAAGCCGTACTATAAACACCATTACTCTTTAACACTCGCCCAATTTCACCTTACATTTGCCGTTAATATGCTGTGCGACTGCGCTGCACCTTTCTGTATGCTCAACACATACTATTGTTGCAATAAGGATTAATTTCTAGCTTCCTTTACACTGACGACGTGGTTGAGCTGAGTGTGGAGAACGTCATCCCTACGTGGATGTGCGCGGACAAGTACGGTGTCCCGCAGCTAGTGGACATCTGCTGTGACTTCGTCAGTACCGAACTGACCGTCGACAACTGTTTGACCATCCTGGAGAATGTTCGTCAACGCACCCATTCTTCCTTGGCTGTCCGCACCAATTAACTTTTAGCGGTTTACAGGGAATTGAATGGCATGCTGAGGAGATTGTCAAGCGATGCCTGCGGTTCATCGACCGCTACGCTGAAGGAGTGCTGCAGTCCGAGCATTTCGTCGCCATCGGGCACAAGACCCTGGTGATGATTCTGCAGAGTGGCACACTCTTTGCCAGCGAACATAGCGTCTATTTGGCTGTCGAGCGGTATAGTTCGGCGCGTGCAACAGTATTTTGTGTGCTCCATGAGTGGGTGTGTTACAGATGGGCGCTGGAAGCATGCAAGGTCAACAACGTGGATCCATCCGGCGCCAATCGCCGGCAGATTCTGGGCGATGCGTTGTTTCTCGTTCGGTTTCCTCTGTTGACTCACACGCAGCTGGCCGATGGGCCAGTCAAAGTAAGTGACATGCATAGCTCACCTTTGCTATGATTGATACGGCTGCGATTCAGACTGACACTTAAATGCTGTTCCGTGTCCCGTAATTTCTATCCTAAAGGTAGCAGTACAGATATTCAGGTAGGATGTATTTAGCGCGAAGTTGCGCTATGAACAACTGCCACTTCACTGCCTCTATCACAATGACATATCTGGTCCTCCTCTCAAACAAGACAAATATATAAGGTAATTTTTATAGAAGAAAAATTAGTATTAAATTTTGATAATATATGTATATCGATAGTTTATAATTTTGATCGATATTTGGCATGCATCCGCCAAGCCAAATAAATGAAGGGCGTAAACTACCAGTATGTGGCGTGGTGCACCGCAGTATGGAGTTTGGCGTCGCCGTAACCCGAAAATCTGTATTTGGGAGTGTGCTGATGTGATAGAAATTACGGGATAACGCTGTCTGGTGAACAATTTAGGTGGACTTGGGTTTTTCGCATATTTGCTGTCACTTTAAATAGACTTCCCCATATTTCGGTCGCCATGGTATCACCAGTTTTCCTAACAAAAACGAAGTTAGCATAAATGCCTAGTATTCGTAACAAAACTTATTACTGCGTCATGAATTTCTCACCTCATGATTTTCTAATTACTGCGTCATGAAGCACACCAAAAGTTTCCATAAGAAGCAAAATAAAAACAGGAATTGGACCGAGTGCAGTGCGAAATGACCAGTCTTCCGCTTATGCAAACTGCTTATGCTACGTTTTTGGTTTGTTTTGGAAATTATAAAGCAGTCAAAAAGGGGTCAAGCAAATCATATGATCAGCAGTTATTCATGTAGTGCGCCACAGTGTGGGGGGCCAGTGACCAAAATTTCCGAAACAAATGAAGGATGCTTATTTTGCCTTTGACAGTTCTCTATGTACGTATAACTGTGTCGGACGAATTGGGTTTAAAAAAATTTCTCAAATGATGAACGCGTCTGGTTCAGCATACGTGATGATGATGAGTTAATATTCAGCTGAACGTGGCAAAACTACCAATCGGTCAACGATTTGTGATTCCTTGTAGAGTGGTTTACTGCTTCATTCCGAAGTGCATGACCTGTATCAGCACAAATTCGCCACCGTCAAACCGTCACTGCCCTTCTCGGCAGACGCTCGCCAAACGTCCACATTCCGCATCGCCGACACCGAGCTGCAGTATGCACAACCAGTGTTTGTGCACCTGCATCAACATGCAAAGGTGTGGCATCCAGCGGAAATTGTGGGAGTGGAAGAGGACAAGTTCCGCTACACGTGGCTGGTTCCGTGTGGTGCATCCTATGGCGGCTGCGATTCCAGCGGAGAAATTCTCCCGGCTTCCCAGTTCCTCAAGCCGGGCCAGGAGATGGTGGCTTTTATCAACGGTGGCCATAGGAATGGAGCTATTTATCGTCGAGTGAACGGCGATCAGCATGTTGTCCAGTTTGATCATCAAGAATACACGGTCCGTTTCATCGATTTACTGGCCCACGACCATCACGTTAGAAGCATTAAAGCAAATACTGAGGCTTGAAAGTTGCGATGCTTGGCGAAGAACGTTAATCAACGGAAACGTTAACAGAAAATGTGCATCCTTCCTAAACGGTTCGTTGTTGATTGTTGGTAGGCTCAGCCGCTCAGGATTCTTTAACAGGGTTTTCGATTTTCAACTCGCACAGAGTTAAGCTTCCCTTCTTGCTTATTTCTTTTGGTTTGTTCTCTTATTTATTTACATAAATGATATAAATTATGTTTCTGCTTATTGTAAACTATCAGTTATCTGGATTTTATAATATGCTCGTACATTCGAATTATACATTCGAATTCAACTTTGGGTGAATGGTTTTGGGAGCTTCAAGTTTGAATTATCGGTAATTTGTTTCCCGCGACAGTCTGGCAAATGAAATCGTTAGCGTTATTTAAGATTTTGCACCGGGTAATCAGTGTATCGCCTAAAGATACGGTATTATTTATTTTCGTGAACTACTTTTTGACGTGCGCTTGGTAATGGAAATAGCCATTTGGTGTGAGCCGATTTATTGGGTTAAACGCAAAGGGAAAAGAAAATGCGAAATCAAGTTATGAATATTATTGTTTATTTTTTATGGCTGTGTTTTTGGATTCGAAGATGTGACACTGTCAGCTGTCCTGTCACGCTGATATCCAATCGTAAATCTCAAGTACAGAATATAGCAATCTCAAAACTGGTAACAAAACTGGTTTTGTCAAAAGGCTCGGATCTTATAAAACATTTGGTTTGTTCGAGCGCAGGAAACTGCTACTTAGCCTCTGAGGTGACCAACTTGGCCGCGTCTTATCCGCCCAGTAATTACAATAATCGTACGCAGATATATGTAGTCGTCAGAGTTGCAACTGAATGCGTAGAAATCGGCAAATCCGGAAAGGCATACAAATGTGGCCAAGATGCAGTTTCGTACCGTTTTCGAAATTTCCCAGTCCGGGGGAGCTGGTATACAAAATGTGGTAAGGTAGCGACGACTACAACTTCAAGGGAGAACCGCATAAGTACGATCGTTTTTACGGCAGCTGCTCTCTGAAAAATTTTACTTAAAACCGATTCTTCGCGCATTATTTTACCCGTGTATTAGCGGCTACGTCGAATGACCTTTATAGCACACTTGGCAGACTGCGGTGAACAAAAGGTACATAGAAAAAAACATTGGTAGAAATTACAGTACCATAAAGTCGTAATCTGCACAGCTGGTACACCGTATAGTGATTTGCTAATCAGTAAGAAGCACGATGTCACAACATGAGACCATATAGCTCCTTGCCAGTGCACGTAATTCACAACGTTCTCTGCTGACATTCCTTTGCGTTATCACAATCTCTAACATTCCAGTGATTCCACCAACGCAAGCCGACAACATGCCATCGGTGCCGATTAGCCGGATGTGCGTGGCACTTGCCAGTCAGAATACATCAACGGGAGGACGCAAGACGCGTCGATACCTGATTCATGCGATTACGCTTCAGCCTAATTTACAGTTGCTTACGCGAGATCATGTTTGCATACTTCTACTTAACTTGACGATAACTGTTACTGTCACAATGGTGTCCAGTGCCCAAATGGAACGTGGCGATAGTTGTGTCTCGACTCTCGTAGGGTAATTTCATATAGCGATGGTTTAGTGTTCGCCGCTTAGATAAAGCTACGAGTATGTTCATTTAGCCAGATGGAAGGATATGTGATTTTATTTCTGCCGGTCAATGGTCATTAATTGCTTGCTACAATACTTTTGCTGGCACACACTACATAACATCGAATCTTGAGTTCAGTCTGTTACACGTCAACCTTAAAAGTTATCAACATATCGTGTACCAGCTCGACAGGCACGAGCACACTTCTCACGACACACGGAGTACTTCGTTATGCAATAGCGTGGTCCATGCGCATCACAAGACAAGACAAGACAAGACAACTTTATTCCCCCAGATTTCTTCTGGCAGGGGCACACCATGCGTAGTGCCGTATGATTAGGTGTAAAATCATATAATAGCTTTTGCAGAACAAGCATCGATGATGTCAAGAAAATAATATCAAACGTAACAAGTTAACAATGTAAACGTAAAAATAAGGCGATGTAAACATGATGTACGTAAAACAAAAGGAAGGTGAGTTTATGGATTCAACTGCATTTTAGTTGCAGAAAACTTTACATAGGCAGCAGTAACAATTCGCCGCAAAATACTTTGCGGCTATCTTTCACGATCTGGTTTAAAAAATTGCTTAAACAAAAGAACAGCGTTTTATCGTGCTCCGTCGGCGTGTCCTTTCTTCGTAGTAAGTTCTGCATTGTTTCCACTAGCTCGCCATCCGGTATTAAAAGGTCATGGACAGCTAGTCGCTCTTTTAGTTTCTCCCTGTGTGGAAAGTATCCCGGACATTCATTCAGTGCATGAAACTCGTCTTCCACAACCTCACAGAAGTTACATATCCGCTCCTTTCGTGACAAACCGTTCCATCTTCCTGTCTCCACAGCAAGATAGTGACCGGAAGTCAACATTTTTACCCAGTTTCCGCTGATTATCATAGGCATCGTTTTCCACAAGTCCACTTCTCCGCTTACCGGTAGACACTGAAATAAAAAATACATCCTGCTGCTCCTGGCAGCATTATCCTGTACCGACATAAATAGATTCACCCGGAATGTTTTCTCGAGTCTCGTCATTAGATCAACTGAATTCAGCTGTGCCAGCTGATTACGAATATCTTGGACCGTGTTTGTTAGGTTAATTTCGATTTCTTCCGGTAATTCCCTGAGCGCATTTTTTATGCAGCATCTCTTTCTGCTTTTGCCAACCAGAATGCTTTCCTCAAAAGCCGCTCGTAGAAACGTCCCCGAGTTTGCGCGACTGAGCTTTTCGAAAAACCGCATCTGCTGTCGTACTTGTCTGAGACTGAGTGGTAGCAGATTCAAAAGGTACAGAATTGCATCGGTGTTCGTAGTGCTTCTGAGGCTGAAAATTCGCTTGGCAAAGTTGATCTGTACTTTGTCAATTTCGCTGTTTTTTCCGCATAATTCCGAGCCATCGGTTAGCACGCTTCCCACGACTGCTTCGAAAATTACTTTTGCAGTCTTCCATGTGAACCCGATTTTTATCCCTGATAATTTCTGTATTGCCATGTTGTATCCCATTTTTACCCGCTCTGTTAAATGCTTAGCAGACTTCTTAAGATCGCATTGTTCGTTTAACACAAAACCTAGATACCGAAATTCTGGAACCTGTTCTAATTTTCGACCATCGATTTCAATGTGGCAAGAAATTTGTCTTCGAATAGCACCTTTCGCCACCATACAAAACGATTTCGCGTAGTTGATTATCAGCTCGTGTTCTTGTTAAAACTGGCTTAATCGATCTACCGAAATCAACAGTTCCTCTTCATTTTCGCTTATCAATACGATATCGTCGGCAAACTTCAGGAGGTACACAGGGAGATCTCCCAGTGCAATATCTGTTACACGTCCTTCTCTTACATATTTTGTTAAAGGGTCAACGTATAGATCGAACAACATTCCTGATGACGGATCGCCCTGCCTAACGCCCTTTTCTAACGGGAAAAAATCCTGACGATTCTTTGTTCCATTTTACGCACTTTTTTGCCGCTCCATACATGTTTTTCAAAAATCTTAACATTTTTAACGAAATTCCTAACTCAGTCAAACGTGAGTCAACTCAGTCAATGAGACGGGAGACGCGTTCTTTTGTTCACCGGTAACCGTAATAGGCAAAGACTTGGCAAGATGCCACCCGTGTGCGGCAGAAATTGGCCACAGCCACTTTCTGCTGCACACGGGTGGCATCTTGCCAGGTGGCATTCGGTTACAATCACGTGGTACCAAGAGCCATTTGCAAACTGGACTCCGTCACTCCGACTCTGTTTTCAGATTTGGTTTCTTTTTCATTTAATTCTTTTCCCGACAACATTTCAACTGGCAGCTACTGGCTACTACTATTTTTGACATCTGTAATTATACGAGTACTAACAAAGGAAGTGTATTCTTCACGTTCGCTACTCCGCGTTCGATCAGTATGTCGAGAGCACTTGGTTTCCTCAGCGATGTTAAAATGCCCCAGAATCCAGCTGCGCCAAAACGTCGCAAGCGGACGCCCGCTGCACCTGCATGGGCGCTGGTTCGAAGTATGAAACAGTCGCTGGTTAGCGGAGAGTTCAGTGACGTGCAGTTCATGGTGGGACGGCAATTCGGAGAAGGGAAGCTGTTCTCGGCTCACAAGTAAGCTCTGGCCTGCTAAAATTGACGTCTGGCAATTGCTTTCTGCAAGACACGACATTTTTGCAGGTATGTTATGTGTCTGCGCAATTCCGTGTTCCGCGCCATGCTCTATGGAGATTTAGCTGAGAACTGCGAGAAACCTGTCGAGATTCCGGATGTTACGGTGGATGCGTTTGGCAATATGCTCAGGTTTGTGAATTGTCAGATCAAATTTGCGGGTCTTCTTTAATTTAGGTATGGTATCGTTTTAGTTTCCTGTACACTGACGCCGTGGATGGGCTAACCATGGAGAACGTCATCCCGACGTGGATGTGCGCGGACAAATACGACGTACCGGAGCTGGTGGAGAAATGCTATGATTTCGTCAGCAGCCAGCTCAACATCGACAACTGCCTGAACGTTCTCGAGAGTGTTGGCTTGAGGCAGCTGTTCGGTATTATCAGCTGACGGATAACAGTAGCTGTTTTACAGGGAATTCAGTGGCATGCGGAAAAAATTGTTAAGCGTTGCTTGCTTGTTGTTGGCGGATCCGCTGAAACCGTTCTGCAGTCAGAGCCTTTTGCAGCCATTACGCATAAGACCCTGGTGACGATTTTGCAGAGTGAGACAGTCCTTGTGGGCGTCGGCGAGCATGACATCTATTTGGCTGTCGAGAGGTACAATTTTAGGCGGTAGAAATGAGATAAATTTTTCGCGAACCCCGTTACAGTCAGGACTCTGAAGGAACAAGAGAACCGCAGACGTAGTTTAGCCTACTAACGTAAATCGAACGTTTAGACAGATCCGTGAGCTATTTCATAGGTGGGCGCGGGAGGCGTGCCAGTCTAACAATCTGGATCCAACCGGCGAAAATCAACGTCAGACGTTGGGTGAAGCGCTGTTCCTCGTGCGGTTTCCCCTGCTGACCGCCACGCAGTTGGCGGATGGGCCGGCTAAGGTCAGTTTTTTTCAGTTGCAAATGATATCTGTTTCTTAGCGCTGTGTGATGTCTTGCAGAGTGGTTTACTGCTGCAATCCGAAGTACACGATCTGTATCAAAACATGTTCGCCACCGTCAAACCCCCCCTGCCCTTCTCCACGGAACACC